GATAGATTTGTACATCAATACAGCAAAAATTCTGCCAGTCTGAGCAGTATCTTGGGGAGGGTGGGATCAACTGAGAAAAACTGTACTTAAAAAGTATGAAAAAAAAAGAGTTATAGACTTGCTTAGTCATAAGAATTATCTTGTCTAAACACTGAAGACCGGTTAATTGCTTTTTTCCCCTTGAAACACAAGTTTGTTTTTTGCATGCTTCTTGGGAAAGTGCAGTTAGGAAAAGATATGGAAGGTAAGCTGCTGTCTGCTTGCTATTAGTGTCATCTGGATTTAAATGTACCTCTTTTGCTTTGCTGCTTTAAATTTGACTCTTTTTTTATGTTGTGGGCATTCAAAGCAAGTGCCTTGTGATGTTCCAGCAGTGCCTGAATGCATCTGGGGGGTGCCACTGGGGACAGTGTCCTGAGTACTTATGTTGACTTTTGCCATGCAATCCTTTCCCCTCTTTTTAGAAAACCAATGAGAATTGCAGCGCTTCATCAGCCAGCTCAGCAAGACAACCCCAAAATCCACGAGATGCTGAGCAGTCCAGAAACTGTTCAGCACCGACAGCTGCAGCACCATCAGATTGCCAAGCAGGTGGCAGCCGCGTGGTGTCGGATGGTGATGCTCAGCCCGCTGCTGCAGGGCCCTGAGGCGCGCTCATCTTACCAAATCCAGTGCATGGAATTCTGCTTCTCACCTGGGAAACGCTGGACTAGGAGCTCTAAAGTAGGACTTCCTTCATCTTAACAATCATAACGTGATGCAGTGCAAGCTTTTAACTATATAAAGAATATTCATATGACTACACAGAGCAACATGAGCAGGGAAGCCAAAAGGTCGGATTCTTGAGGGAAGTGATGTGGCCAGATCTAATGGTAGGGAGAATTCTCAGCTGCTTTGCTAAAGCTGAGTCAAGTGCTATGAAATTTCTTTACCATCTGTGGAATAAAGGGAGTTCACTCCTCATTTGTTGAGGCACAGTGTGTCTGATTTGATTGGATCATTTTTTTTTTCTTTAAATTTATTCCCAAATCAAAATTAAATTAGTTTTTTAAGAGAGACACTGAATTTCCCTGAATAGTCTATCAGAAAATACCAGATCTAATAATTCTAGCAATGTCATGAAAGTATCTCTGGAAAGATTTCTCAGAAACAGAGTAGCTTAAGAAAATGTATCTTAATATCATAGTGAGGTATGAAGTAAACCATATGCATATTCAAATAATATGTTTTTGAAGCTAATGTTCAGCTATTTGAGATGGAAGTTTATTTCTGCAAAGCAAAGGTTTTGAACTGGCATTTTAGTGCCACACAAAAGCTGGAGGAAAGCTTCTGAAGAAGTTACCCTCTGTGCTTGCAGCCTTGCAGGTGGGCATAAGGTTGTGTGCATTTGGGTAATTTTAGGTTTGATGTTATATTGACACAGGAGTCTTTGATCTAGATTGCACAGCCTGAGATTGATCAGTGATCTTTTTGGGTTTTTTATTTCCCCATCTATACAGGGGTTTATTTAATGCAGTGTAGTTATTATGGTTATTTATTAAGAAAAAAGTAAGCTTTAAGTGCCTAGGGAATGTGGGGGGGTAGGGAGGAATCACCTAAAAATCTTAAATGTTTAGGATTATAGGGGCAAAGTAGTGGATGCAGAAATCAAGTAGAGTGAGATTCTCAGGAGGAAGCAAATGTAACTCAATTGCAGTATGTTTAGGAAGTTACTTTGCCCAATGTCAAGACACTGGAGGACTTTGGATTATGTTTTGTCATGCTTCTTAATACTGTCTGCAGCCAGCTCGTGCTGGTGCATAGTGAAAATTGCTGCTGGAGGGAAATCCTCGGGCTCAGGGAAGAGTCAGGGGATTAGTCAGGACAGTGTTTTGGCCCATGCTCTTAGATGAGCAGCTTGTTCCCGGGAGATGCTGAGCACTCTGCTCCCCTGGGACTGAGGGAGCGCTGCCCTCCTGGAAGCCAGAGGTGTGTGAGGTACGAGGCCTTCCGTGGGGAGGGTCTGGGGGGCTGAGCTGAGCAGAGGCAAGGCCAGCAGGAGCCCAGAGTCAGGGAGAGGAAGGTGGCAGCAGCTGAGCAGGAAAGGGGGTGCACAGGTTTACCCACTTTGACAACTTTTAGCTTGACTGAAGGGGTGTCCCGTAGCTGTGCTTTAGCTGTGCTTTTAGAACAACCCACGTTCTGGCAGTGCCTGGGACCAACACCATAGACAATAAAAAGAAACATCAATGACTAGCCACTAGTTACTTTTTTTGCACTTGAACTTAAATGTACTGTACTCACATAAATCCTCATGACTTGTCTAAGTGTCCTTTAAAATCAGAAATGTATTTATTGTATGTTTGTATAACTTGGGGGAGAACTAAAGACTGAACAGGTGACAAGATAGAAGGATGCTAAAAATCATCTTGAGGCTAACCAACCATTTGTTGAGTTCATGCTGTATGGTGTTACCTCAGCTGCTACTGCATAGCACCTGGATTGTGAAGTGAAGAGCTTGTACACTGTGTTTACACTTCAGAATTGTGTATTTGAAATGCCTGCTCTTTTTGGAATTGTATAGTCATTCTATGTTGCAAAATGGACATGTACACCTGGATTTTGATATTTGTGAAACTGTAAAAACTGTGGTAAGAAATATAAAATATCCATAACATATTTAATAGTATCAACGTGAACTTTTATTTTGTTTGTTCATATTAGAGTCAGCAGTGAACATAACCAACCTGAAGTGAAAATAATTCAATGATAATGACCTTTTACTAAAGTCACTGGAGGATGCTGAACCAAGAGCCTGGGAACTACTCTTGCACTGTGTTAAAATAGTATTTGATAATAAAATCTGACAGTAGGCACCAGTTCCCTTCTGTGGGGCACAGGGGCTGTAAGGGACACAAACCAATGTGTGTTGTAAACTGGTCAGTGTGAAAGAGTGCAGGGCATCACTATGAACACTGCAGAGAACTGAGGAAAATGTAACATCCTTTGTTAAGGGAGAAAGGCTTTTGTAAGAGGGCAATGGATTAATGCCTAGATTCTGTTCCTAGATTTTCTAGCTGTAAACCAAAACAACAGTACTTAACAATTGTGTTTCAGTAAGGCTGTGTCATCTCCACATATCACAGGAGCACTGTGCAAGTGGACAGGGCTCCAGTGACAGCAGCTGCTTTTGGTGGGTTTTGTTTATGAAACCCTTTCAGTGTTGGAACAGGCTTGGGAGGATTTTTAAGGTCACCATTTAGCTACCCACTAAGGTAGCCATCATCTTTCTCCTGTTGCTGCCATTCTGTTTTGCATGTATTTAATAGTTTCCTGCTCTATTTTGGATAGTATTTACCCATCCCTGCCAAACAATGGATCTCACAACTACATACAGCGTGAGTTGATTTTTATTTAATTTTTATTGCTTTTTAACCTTTTTTTCTTGTTGAAGTAAGTGTACCTGGTATTCTTCTAAAACATGTAATTACCTAAACTAAGGGGGGGGGGCATTTCCATTTAACATATTGCTTAGGTAAAATGCTACCTTAATGTATAATCTGGGCTATTGTATGTAAATACATGTTATGTATTTACATGCCTCCATATTATGGGAGGGTAATCATCACTACCTCACTAAAGAGAGGACATTCAAAAACCTGTTTAAGCTCAAACAAATCTGATTCTCTTCCTTGGCCTCAAATTGCTTGGATGGGAGTTCTTGGCTAACTGTGAAGTACACTGAAAAAAGCCCTGTACTTCAAAACATGCAAAAAACATTAACACATTTCTTTGAGTATCCTTTGCCTAATCTGTAATGATTTTAAGTAATCCATTTCATGATGGTGACACAAAGATAAAATAAATCTGATTTGGTCTATGGTCATTGTTCAGGGGGGAGTTTTCACCCTTCTCCCAAACCAGCCAAGATAATGAGGCCTTCCTCTGTTTTCACAACTGCTTGTTGCTAGTGCCAGAGCCCCCCAAGCCAAACCTGACTTCCCAAGTGTAGGTGGCAATTTAGCTGTGGATTTGGTAGCACCAGCCAAAGGTGAGTCTTGCTGCTAGTAGCCTTCCTAAACAGAGCCCTTACTCTATTTTTGAATGTTCTTGATTTAACAGCAAGTGCATTTTGGATCACCTGCTTGACATGGCTTTTCTCTGCTAAACATGCTTTAGATTCTGCATAGGTACTTAAAACTTTATGGCACCTAAAGGATGTTAAGTGTCTCTTTACTGTAAAATGGAAGTGTTTTTTTTAAGCTGAAGCAATATAAAGGAGAAAAGACCACATCAGTAAGGCTTTAAAGCTTTCAAGCACCAACTCTGAATCCTTTGTTACACAGAGGAGCTCCTGGATTATGATATGACCACACTTAGCACCATTGGAGGTAAGGGGTTTTGTCCCTGCTGCAGCAATGGACAAGGAGAACCCAGGACAGCACCTGCACTGCTGAAGTCATGCTGCAGCACTAGGCATGTCACAAAGGACAGACAGCCCTTTTAAAGCACATAGATCCAGTCTGACATGCCTTTCTTGAGCACCAACTGCTCCCCATTGCTCACAGTTCCCAGTGGCTTTGTGAGATCAGATGGTGAATTAATCAGAATTAATGGTCTTCTGTCTTCTGCAGTTTGTAAGACAGTAAAGGAAAACAGCAGATTGAGAACAGAAGAATACAGGGAGGGATAGTCTAAAGAACAAAAGAAAGAAATTACATCTGCAGGTGGGTGAACTGAGGTACACACTGCTCCCTAGCCTAGGACTGTGTAATACATAAGCTGAAAGACACAAGACTGCCTAAATTTCTCTCTTGTCCTCCCCACTTCTCCTGTGAGAAGCCCCACAGACAGCTGAGAAAGGGAAGGTAAAAGACAGATTTTACTCGCATTGTTTTCCAGCAATGATTTTCTGCTTCTTACTCAGTGAACAAACTACTGGGTACTCTGAGGCCAGTGGAGCTGTGTGGGTTATCTGCATTCCCAATTCCAGGTTCATAGCAGCACTCTGGCTCTGCTAACAGCAGCTGAAACAGCTTCAGCCTTTGTAGCCTTTTTGGAGCTCTGCAGAGGCCTGGAATGGACAGCAGCACCTGCCTGAGGTAAGCTGACACTGAAACTGAAGGCAATAGCAAAAATGTTTAGGGATGGAAAACCTCTCCCAAACCACTGTCAGAACTGGAGAAGTAGAGAGCTAGAGAAAGGTTAGCAGAAGATCTGTACAAGAGGGAAGAAAGTATGTAAGTAAACAAAGACTTAGAAAGAACAAAATGCAGTGTAACCACAGCAGAGGTCAAGAATGGAATAATACGGGCAGAGGGTGAAAAGTCAGGCAGAATTCTGAGCAGCAAGGGGAGCTCAAAACTAAAGGCAGAGGCAGGATGAAGCTAACAGACCAGCCCAGCCAGAAGGGGAAACAAACCTCGTTCAGCTGCATCAACTCTCTATAAAAGTCTGACAAACAACAAACACAGTTTATCGACACTCTAAAAGCATTATCAGAAGTCTTGACACAGAGGGTACTGAATAAAAAGGAGAGTATTAAAAATGGCTTTTCCTCCCTCTAGTGCTCAGCACAGAGGACTTGATGGAAAGGGCCAAAACAGATTCTCTGTTTACTAGAGGTAGTGTTCTTTGTAAAAGAAGGCATCCTGGTGGACAGGCTGTCTCCAGTACTTGCCTTGGAAATACACAATGTTTGTTTCCCTAGTGAAAATACCCATAGCATGAGATTCCTCTTCACTTGAACAGCCTCTATGGTAATCAGGTGACATTGGTGATACAGGAAAGAGTTTTTTTTAAAAGATCCTTTTTTGTCCACCAGCAACCACAAGAAAAGGCCAAGTGTGAGTTCTCATTCTGTATCCTCTTTTTCTAGGAGAAGTGTGTTTTCTGTCTCGTTGTTGCTATTTCTCAAAGCTCAGAGCAGCTCAGTAGCATATGGAAATGGAATTTGTGAATGCATTTCATTTTCATTCTCCTCATCTTCTTCTTCATGGACAGAATTGGCTGGCTCATCTTGCTCAAACTGTGCCCTTGTCTCAAAGAGCTGCTCTTCCAGGAAGAAGCTCCCAATGCCATACTGCTTATCATGCGCCTTTGTCTCTGCAGCTGAGACGTGGGGAGATCCCAGAACAAAAGCTGCAAACCTGACAAATTTTGAAAGGGAGAAGTTATCAACTGAGAAATTAAAAGAAGAAATACTGTAAATTCTAGGGGTATTGCTATTTAGGAAGGAGTGTTGTAAGGACATCCCCACGGGCAGTGCAGATGAGGGGAAGTCCCAATAACGGATGGCAACAACCGCAAAGATTGGTTTTCCCAGCTCATCTTTTCAGTATTTCTGCAGAAGTAACTTTTGCTCTTCTGGAAACCATCTGCAAGGTCTTGTGACTAAGCAAGAAGATCTAACTTCGTTTTCACATCTTGTCAGTACTTGCAGGGTAATCCAGACTAAGCATTTGTACAGTGGGGTAGTTGGTACTTTAGCTCCTAAAAATAAATTAAAGCTGTAGCATATTTGAGACAAAGGCTGCAATAATTCAGGTGTGTTGATATTGCTAATGAAAGGAAAAATTGAAAAATTCTGCACTCCTATGTTGTATGTAGTCACCTTGTTGCTGGTGCTGTGTGTGCACTGTGGGCAAGCTGAGCTCAAGTCTTCCCAAAGAATTCCTGCCTCCAGTGAAGCTGGAGCTGCAGACTGGGAATTCTGCAGCTGCTCCAACTAAATGCCAGAACAGAGCATGAGCTTAGCACTGTCCCTATACTGCAATCCCCCACAAATCCTCCTTTCAGTGGGCAACTCCATTGAGGAGAGAGAATGGAGCTGGAGGTTTCTGGCAAGAGTGTGGGAACAGACGGCAGTTCTGACACCTGGGTAAGTGTCGACAGCATCAGAGAAATGTATGAAAAAGGAAATGCAGCTACATTCTGGAGTTCTGGTAAACTGATCAATAATTTACATTTCAGACTTAACATTTCTGTGAGATGAATGTCGTCATCTCACTGTTCTTGGAAGGTCTGTTAGTCTAAATGGGGAACAGTTTGCCTTGGGATGAACCACAGTCTGATGCTTAATGGGAGCTGGGAGGGGTTCTCCAAATTGAATTGCTGTTGGTTCTCCTTTTTATTTCCCTTTTCACAACCAGAGAACAGTCTATAACACCTCTATTAATGAAATGATGGCTAGAAAATACGTGTGTCACAAGTTGTTTTGTACATTTGGTGGTGTTTAATTTTACAATACAACAGTAAGCTTTCACATTTTTATCTCTCCACTCTAAAGGCAAGGAGCTTAGAAAGTAAGACTGTTTAACAGTAAATCCATAAAACCTGGCAGAGAGGCTGTCTGTGTGCCAGTCCAAGGAAGATGAAGGTTCTGAAACTGGGTTTAACTTGTTCCTGAATAAATTCCAAACTGACTGGGGTTCCTTTAAAATGGTGACACTTGGTTCTGTGGCAAGGACTAAGTCTTTGTGGCTGGCTAACATTTGAAACTCTGCTTCTGATCTCTTCGAGTTTTTGTTTTGATGGGAATACACTGTTATGATTTATTTTATACTCTACAGGGTTTTCTGGCTTTGCTTGCTTGACCCTTCCTGACCTATATTTGTCTTAGTTTTATCTCTTAAGCTATACACTGCACAGCTCTTCTACCTGTTCTACTTGCTCGTTGCAGGTATTGATTTCTTTCTCTGTATACTTAGTCTTAGATAGTGATACTTCAATAATAGGATTCCCTGACTCTGCAGATTTGCAGTTGGAGAGCTTAATATAGGTAATATTTGAGTATGTATCTTCACTGTGCCCCGGTTTTACACCACAGAAAAGGGCACTGCTCTAAAAGCTGAAGCAGGGCAATTTCACTGGTTAGAGAGGCACCAGGGTCACTGCAAGGGCTTACAGAGGCACTGTAGGAAGCCTGTAAGTTCTGTGACCATGAATCAGCTGTCAAGGTCTGCAAATTCCTAAGAGTAATTTGTGGTCAGGGAGGAACAAAGAGAAATTCAATGCCATCAGCGAGCAATCCCCTCAAGAGGTGTGGCTGTGGTCCTGAGTGGGATATGCAAGATAAACACACCTGGAACAGTGCCTGCAGTGGCATTTAGGTCTGCAGTGTGTTTAGGTGTGCAATGTGTTTCCTGTTTTAGAGAAGCCAAGGTTTCTTACCTGTGTGGAGCCTGGAGTTTGGATACAGCTATCCATGATGGGAAGTCAGGGCTCCTGCAGAACGAGCGCAGCTCCTCCAGAGCTCTGATCGTTTCACTTTCACCTTGTTCTCGATACTCCTCTTCAGTAAGGTATTTAAACACCAATTTTTTTGATTTAAAGTGATGCTTCATTTTTCTAGAACAAAATGAAAATAACCAGTATTTATAAAGTCTTCTGCCATGTAATTATCTGCCCTTTTTCTCTATACCTGCTATTAAAATGCATTAGTCACCTCTACCCTTTTAAGAGAACAAGCTGCATTCTTACATTTGAGGGCAAGGCATGTAATGTTTGCTAGCCTGTTTACCCTAGGTCTTAATCAAAGCTGTAGAATTTCACATGATATTTAATGAGCTTCAGATGAGCTTTAGATCAGGTCCTTATTGTGTATGCATGGACTAGAATCTCACAGAATTAAAGAGATGGCTGCTTGCTCAGCCATTTTAAGGTGCAAAATGCAAAATGTGTCTGTGCAGAGACATGGGCTGAATCAAAACTCAGTCTGCATATGTTACATCAAAGATAAGCAATGCTCTAAGCCTGTTGTGAGTTGTTCATGTTGTTTACTAGCTAGCTTCTCTTAAATCTTGCTCTGAATTACAAAACTGAGTAGTCTGAGGCCAAAATGTTTACAATCTGATGGTTTTTTAGCTGCTGCGTAGTGATGTATAATATAATTAGATATAAATTAGAAAGTGTGCCATGTTCTGTTTCCTTCTGTCAACTGCTTTCAATTTAAATGTTGTGATGAGTTAAGATAAGCAAGGGCTGGATGCCCATAAAACTTTCAGCTCTGTATAAAAACACCTGCTCCAACATCAGCAGCATTTAACTTTCCTTCTTTTATCCCTTTAAAGCAGAGAACTGTAGTAGTTGTTTAGGTCAAATGGTGAAGGGTCTTGCTGGCTCAGTGAGATCGACTGTTCTTAACAATAAATACTGCAAGACTTTAAATTATTTTGATATATTTGCTGCTCTGAACTGTGTATCTGGCATCGTGGCCTCACAGTTTGGTGCTGTGACTTAAGGATTTTGAAACAGAAAAATTCAAAAGCCCTTTTCATTCTCCTAAGAGAGATTACTTGTAGAACTGTATTTCTTTATAGAAGCATCAGTTCATAAAAACCAAAAAGAAAGAACTACATGAAGAATAAACTACAGTGTTTCAGAGTAAAACTTGAAAGTAAAACTTGTGGCCACATCATACTGATTCCAGAGCATTCTGAACCTGTTTACAACAGGTGCTGATCTTACATGTTGCTTTTGAAACAGCTGTTGCTTCTCAGCTGCAGGCAAAAATTGGTCTACAACAAATGACAAATTCTACCTAAAATAAAACCAATTCAGGCTGCTTCATACTTCAGCATGTAAAAAGAGAAGATAAAGACTAAAGCAGTATGTTTTTCAAAAGTAAACAGTGTGTATATAAAAAAAAAAAACAAAACCCAAATTATTTGTTTTTTATTATTTTGGTTATGCCAGTTCCAGCCTTTGCCTCTTCCTACTTCTCTGTGGTTCAGCAGAGTCCACAGCTATGGAACAGTCTGTACTAAAGACTCTGAAGCTGGATGCCATCCATCCCTGAAGGTAAAAAACAGATGTCAATTGGCAAGGCTTTTTAGAATCTTCATTTGAGCTCTGCACTTGTGCTAAAGCATACTTCAAATTCAAGGATGAGCAAACACGTTGTTCCTGTATTGCTACTGCAAACACTCAGCAAGTTAAGGTGTACCTACTGCAAGCAGTTCTTGTTCAATTCCAAAATGTAAATGGGCCTCTAGGAATGCTGAGGAGTATCTCCATAGTTCTGACAGATTGCTTCTATGAATGACAAGGAGAAAAACTAAAATCATGGAGAACGCTATTTTGCGGACATGTGATTTTAGTCTCTGAACTCTCTTCAACCTGCAAGGACTGTCACTTTTGAACAGCTGCATCCTTGGTGAGGGATCAGTGTTTTATCCCTAGGATTCCATATGAGTTCACTGCAGCTTCTCTCACTACACATCAAACCAAGGCAGTACTGCTGCAGTCTCATCAATCAAACAGAAATGTTCAGGTTGCCATATGCTGTGGACTAGAAGGTGCTACATTTGCCCTTAAGAACACAGTCACACTTCTCCATTATCCACAGAACAAAACTCGTGCTTAAAACTGCCAAGTGGAAAATCAATCACTTCTGTGTCTCTGGACCTTAAACCTTTCCTAAGGCAGTTTTACATATGGCAAAATTTTGAACTAGTACTAGAAATTCCATATATACACCATTACTGGTGTATATGTGGTATAAGTCTAGGGTTTTTTTATGATCAGCTTCCAGTATTTCCTGGTTCTCCCAGGACTTGGACATTCACAAACAGACACAGACCTGGCAATGTGACAGGCAGCACCCAGGGGGTAACAGAGGCCTTTGGAGCAGAGGCTGACTGCTATGACTGCATACGCAACTTGAGGGATGGTGACTCCAAAGTAGATGAGGACAAAGGCTGTTAATTGGAGTGTCCATGTGAACAAGGTTATGCTGAGCTCTGTGGTCAGCGGCCCATGCTGATAGCTAATGGCAAAGCTGGTAATCCCCACAGCCAGAAAATAGCCTGGAGGAACAGAAAAGGACATGGAGAAAAAGATGCAAACTACCCCTACAACCTTTACTTTGCTTCCCAAAGCTGGCAGCTCCTGTGAAGTGTAGCCTGCTGATTCTTGTGTTGTGTTACAGGTAACTGCATGATGTTTTATGTGCTTTCTATTTCCAAAGTGTGCCAAGAGTTCACAAGGTTATCTCTGAACAGCTTTTAGCCAATGCTGTGGGCTGCACATGAATTCTCCTCACATGACAATGCCGAGGCAGGTCTCAGATCAATAGGTCTGTCAGCCCCTGCAGCCACATCCCATTCCCAATGTGTGCATCCATTTCCCACATCCAGCAAGCTGCAGACCAGAGGAGCTGCCCTTTTGCTCTTACAGGAAAAGTACGTAACAACAGCAAATAAATGAACAAATAATGCAAGCAAAATCTGCTCTTAGAACTCTACATCTCTTACAACTTTACAGTCCTCTACATCAAACTCTTTATTCAATGATACAATGTGAGTAAACACTCATTTGAGTGGATTAGGAACCTAATATTTCAACATCTGTGGCTTAGGAGAAAATAGAGCTCTATATGAGTCACTTGATTTTCTTTTTTTATGGGCAGGTATTCATCTGACCACTAAATTAAACCAAAATCTGCAGCACATTTCTTGGTAATTTTCTTACCCAACAGGTAGATTTTGTGTTCAGACCACAACCACTGTATATTCTCTTTGAGGCAGTAAATAAAATAGAGAGAGACCATCCAGGAGCCACTCATTAAAATCCAGAAGGTACTGTGCTAGAAATTAAAAAAAAAAAAAAAGTGAAAAAAAACTTCATTAAAAAAATCCAAGCCAGAATCAGGACCATTGTTTCCAAAGGAACTCACAGGCAAAAACACATGTGAAATTCTTTAAACCTACAGGGTTTTAGACTTGCACTGCACAGTCTTCTGCATGCTACAACAACACAGTATCAATTCCAAGCAGAGCAACTGCATCCCTGTTTTTGTGCATGGTGTCCCAATGTCACAGTATAACCCTACTGACGTGTTCCCAATTAACATATCTCAGCAATATTATGGGAATGCACAGGCTTTAGAAAACTAAAGGAAAAATTCCCATCTGCCTTACAATGAATGGTCTTTGGTGAATGGAAGAGAATCTGTCTCAGCTGCCACTGTATTTTTATTTAAATTGATTCACAGATTCAAAGGCAAGTTTAGCTCCAGTTCAATGAAAATAATTTACGTTTCAGAACGAACTCTTCTTGTACATCACCAATGCCTGCTCAGTTTAAACTCAGGAGGAAGCTAAATAGAACTTGACTCTGACCTAACTCTGTTTACTTGATTCAAGCAATGCTGCAGTCATTTCAGTGCAGTTACCTGGCCTCAAAACCAGAACAAGGTCAGAATCTGGCTCTGTACTGTCACTTCTTGTATTATGATGATTACTATTATTTTATTTTATAAATGTAGATTTACCCTTGGAATAAACCTTTTAAGTGTCAACAGGACAAAGACTAGCAGAGCAAGAACACCCAGTATTACTCCAGAAAGGTAAAAGAACTTGGCACTCCTGTAAAGAGAACAACAGAGAATATGGTGAGATGTGTAATTTGTAATTGGTTAAAATGCCAACATTTGTACAAACAGCAGTGATGTTCAGTAAGAACTTAAATCAGCTGTAAGTTAGAGTTGTAGTTATATGGTAAGCAGGCCCAGTTCAGGTATTACATCTGTGTAAGGAAAAATTCCCAAGAGATACTTAAGGTCACTGGAGTTGTTAGAGGTTAAGAGACTGTGCTGGGGTTTTTTAAAGCTCACACTACTTCTGATTGCATTGCCCTTCTATTCTCTAGTACACAGAAGAAAATTAAATAACCAATATGGTTCTGCACTGCAAGAGAAGTTTTATTTTAATTTAAAATGCAGAAAACCCCCCACAAACCCACAAGTTTTTTCTCCTAAACATATGCATTTATAAATTCCATCTTCTTAATTCAGAGTTAATGCTATAAAACCTATTGCTGCTCTGCTTGTTTCAGAGGTGCCTCCTGACAATTATTTTGTGACTCACTTTGCTTTGAAGTTGTGGGCACGTATTTTGCTGTATCAACTGAGTATCCTCCCTTACATGCTATGAAAAATGTGCATCAGAAGAAAGGCTGGCACAAAGGTGGAGGCAAAAGAGGCCCCACATGACTTTGTCCTAAATATTTCTAAGGAAAAGCATCATTAATAATCAGCATTGTTTAGCATTCAGCTATCCTCAGTGGTCTACAAAAGGGAAAAAGGACTTTTCTGATCCACACACTTGCCCACTGAGGATTGACTGTCTTGGTGTCCCCCAGTGCAGGGAGCCTGGATACAAAAATCCTAACACAGCTGATTGATAAACAGCATTAGGCACTCCAAGATATGTCACAATCTGTCCAAACACAAATGGTATGAGGAAGTTTTAAATATATATTCAGTTCCTTATTTCACTTTCCCAAAGAACTGCCTCTTTAGCTTAGAAAACAGACCAAAGACGCACAAGCTTTGGGAAAGAAGGTCAAAAGCAGCCAGTACTCACCTGCTCAGGCTGTTTGCAAAATGGAACAGAAAAATTCCAGCTACAAACAAAAACAAGAGCTTTCCATCTAGCACTAAAAAGGGGGGAAAGAAATAGAAATTGACTTTAGAGTAATTCAGTCTGAAATGCTGATTATATAAAATATCAACAGAAAAGCCCCAAGCTTCTTACAGAAGAGATGGTACATTCAGTAGCACTGGCAATACCAAGCCATCTGTAATATGAACTCAAAGATTTGGTACTTACTTTCTCTTTTCACCCTCACAACGTATGGTTCAATTTTGAAGGGTTGTATTTTGAAACAAACGTCCTCTCCATATTGTTTTATGCTCAGAAAAGTTTCTGTACATGTCTCTGGCTTCCAGAGGATTTGAACAGCACATGCAACAAACTCAAAAACAGTTTCTGAATTCCGGCAGTTGTTTTTTTCTGAAATAGGCTCAAACCGGAACCTTTCTCTGCTGTTAACTTTTATCTAGAAACAAAGAACAGAAAACACAGAGAAGCAGCTCAGAATCACTGTGGGTTTTTGTGAATTATACTGCATATCAGCCATGCATGTGGTAATGAAAATCAGTCTTAATGGTTTAGTATTGGTTATTTATATTAAGCAAAGATTAATTGTTTACAATTAGTATCTCATAAGATAATTCAGAGAACTCACTGGCAGCAAAGTTCAGTGGAGGGGCCTCAGTCCATCCAAAAGCACAGTGACACTTGCCCACACACAAATTTCTAACAAAGCTAGTGATATCTGACTGACCACAGTTTGTTTTGTGAATGTTCATACTCCTCCTCCTTCCCCTCCTGAACTGTAACAAATTTGACTTGCTTTTCTTTATAATGCAATCTTCATGTTGGGGACATAAGAGGGATGAGGAAAATTAAAGATAGCATAACCAGAAATTTAAATAGAAGCACATTCCTGTTGGGTATTTTGGAGTTTTTTTTCTGGGTCCCAGTGCCCTCTCCCACCAAACTGATCAAAGATCTTGTCCATCTTCTAAGCTGAGGTGATTTTCCTGAGGACTCTGATACATTCTTTAGGGCCTACTAGACAACAAAGACCTATGTGCAAAAAAGTGATGTAGCGGATAATAAACCAGGTTTGTACTAGGGAAGGAGACAATGTGTCAGCAAGCAGTTTGTTGTGGAAAAAATCTGAACTTCCTGCTTTTAAACACTGACTCCAGGAAAGTTTGTGGGACTGATGGAGGGTTCTACCACCTGAGCCTGCTACCATTCATAAAAACACCTGCAACATATTCCTGAGGAAAACAGTCCTGGGAACAAAGAGATGTTCCACTTTTGGATACCTGAGAGAACAGTCCTCCAACAGAGACAAAATGAAACTATTTCCTTCCTTTGTCTGGAGACATACTTCTCAGGAAAGAAAAGGAGCCATGGAGATGGTTAGCTCACTCCTTTAGCTGTTGAAAGGATTTTCATCTGCTTCAAGCTAATCTCTAAATGTGTGTCTTGTAAGATGACCCTCTGATAACTCAGGAGAACAAACACATTGCTGCTGCTGTTTGTTCATTAGTCACAATCTAACGAGCCTTTGGTTCCTACACTTTGGTGTGCTGTGGTGAGAGAGCCACAGAACTGCATGTAGTCCTCAGATTTAGAAGTTCCATAAAGGCAGCTGGTGATAGGCAGAAGCATTTGTTGCAGAGGTTAACAGTGATCCATCAACAGAACATGCAAGAAAATAATACACAATTCTAAATAAATGTTTTTGTGGCACCATCACACTCTAAGCCAGAGACGAAACCTCACTGCATCCCAGCTGGAGGCTCATAATGCTGGATTTATATCATGGTCACAGCTATTTAATTCCATAGAACTGCTGCCTTGATCCTGCTAACTGGCTGGGAAAAGCTCACATGAAATGTACTGACTGACCCCAGAACAGCCTCTCACCTGGATAGTTGACCACAGGTACTGTAAGTGAATGGTTCTGTTCTGCACATAGCAGTAACAGTTTTCATCCTGCTTCTGGATGACATCCATTTCTTGCAATAAGCTGCAGTTTTTATCTGGGGGAAGCAAAAAAGTTAATTTTAGGCATGTGTCAAATACAAATGTCTAATTGTAGTCCATTTCATTGTTGTAAATCCTGACAGAAACATGTTCAATATGATTTAGATGGAAATTCAAATTGGACTTTTAATCAAGTCATTTAGGCTCCAAAGTAAACTGCAACACCTTTGGAAAAAAAAAAAAAAGAAAAAAAAAAAAAACCAAAACAAAAGAGGGTGGTATTTTTAAAAAATGTACTCCAGAAAAGCTTGGCTTCAGCGTCAGTGTTTTGATGGCACTGGAACAGGGCCTCTGGGCCAAATTCACTGCTGCCATGAGTGGGTGTAACTCCACCAGAGTTCCCTGTACCAGTGGTGAATGCAACTGTGGGAGTCTGAGCAGGTAAACAGACTTACATATTAACACAGTCATTTAGCACATGACACAGCTGCTGATCACAAAAGTCATACTCCTCTCCCTCAGAAATGTTTGTGATGTTAAATCACACAAGTCTTCTTTTTAGAACATTTTTTATCCTGTCCCAGTCCAGCCATGGCATGTAATAAGGGAACTGCACTGACAGCTCACCATAAATTGTTGAATTAGAGATGTGAATTGTTCTAACCCTCCTGAAACCTTAGTGAGCCCCTATGATCTTCGGAATTAAGATTGCACTTTTGAGCAGAAATGGACCTAAAAGATTAATGGAGCAAAGTTTCAGACACATTTTGATCTATATACATGTGTAAAATATATCCTACAGTGCATTACCACAGTGTTTCAAGAACATAATTAAAGAGAAGCATAGAGGAAATAATTACACATCCTGACAGAGGGACTCATCTAGCTTACTGAATAGAAAATGTAGGTCTCAGCCAAGCTCAGTAATAACTGCTAACATGCTGTCATGCACTCAGAGCAGCAAAATGGGTATGTGCAATCTCAACCCAGACAAGGAGATGCTGTTTGCAGGTAAAAACGTGCTGTGTCTCTATAAGGAAGATGAAATTAGGCTAAATTATATTCTAACAAATTTAGTTAAGCCAGTGAAAAATACTGTGTGGATGTTCTTACTCAGGTTTATTATAGTTCTTACTTAGGTTTATTATAGCATTACAGAATTATTGTCCACACACGATCCTACTAAACTGGTTTAACCTTAAAATTTGGGCATTTTTTCTTGTGGAAAAATTACCCATCAGATTAATTTTCATCTGTGGCAAATCCAGTGGGAGGGAGCACAACCACTCAGACAAGCACTGGCTGTACCTTTAGACGGGCACTTTCACAAAAGCCATGGCACGATGCTGCAGAACGATTATTTGTCACTGACGCAGCAGGGAGGTGAGGCTGGGCACTACCCAGGCCTAAAACCAGGATAATCCAGCAACAGGAAATGGCAGGGCCAAAACACAGCCCAGTGTCCACACCTCCCCTGAAGGGCATCTTAGGATTTCCTGCCACCACGGATAAAGTATCCATCCGTGTCAACGGCCATGTCATCCACGGGCAAGGCTGGCAGGTATTTTCTTACCACCCACAGTTTTAAGGCATTTTTCTTGAGAAAAAACAGCTGCTTGAGATAAGTAACTCTGTATAAGTAACTCTGAGGTGGTGCTGGGTTTAGCTATTGGAAGGACGCACTTGTAGAGTAACTCAAATTCTAAGACTGCAAGCAAAGAAATTCGAAATTATGAGCCATCAGCATTTCCTGCAGAATCCGGAGGATGCCCAAGACTCGAGAACGGCAATGCAAGGAGGAAGCCGGTTCTAGAGTTCCTTATTGCTACTACAACTGAGCACAGCCTGTTGGGGTTTGCCTGTCCTCAAACATGTTAATAAAAGACCTGTTCTGCACCCTATTCCCTGGCCCGAGCTCCTGAGGAAGCCAGAGGGAGCCGCACACCCAGACGCAGCTCCCGGCCCCGCCGCTGGAGCGGGCGGGACGCGCCCGCCCTCAGTGCGCCGCGGTTCCTTTGTCCGTGTGCGGGCTCCGTGTCCTGTCCGGGCCGCTTCCCATTCCCTGTTCCCGGCCACGGCGCGGGGCCGTCCTGCGGAACCCGAACTGCGAGGGAGGGCCGGGGCACACGGCAGAGCGCCTCAGGCCGCGGCTGCCCCGGCTCCGCTGCAGCTGCCGGCGGGGCGAGCGGCCCCGGCCCGTCAGCCGGGCAGCGCCATGTTGGGCGGCAGCGGGGCCGCGGGGCCCAGGGACAGCGGGAGCGGAGCGAGTCCCCGCTCCCGAAGGGATGGGCTGAGGATTCCCGGCCTGTGAGCACCCGCCCCGCCCCGGGCCCGGGAGGGGACGGGCAGTACCTGCTGGCGGCGCCTCCCCGCTGCCCGCGGCCGCTCCGGGCAGCGCCAGCCGGACGAGCAGCAGCAGCAGCCCCGGCCCCGGGCGGGCCCGCGGGCGCTGCCGGCGGCGGGGCGGCCACGCCGGACCCATGCGGCCGCCGCCGGCTCCGGGCTCGGCCCTCGCGGCCGGCGCAGGGCGGGGCAGGGGCGGTGCGGCCCCGCTGCCCGCTCCCCCCGCGGGGCCGCCGGCGGCCCGGGGCTCCACCCGCGGCACCCGGAGCTTGTGCGGGGCTGGGGGATCCGTCTGGAGGGGGACAGCCCGCCCTGCGCTCCTCTTCTGCCCTCCTTGGGGTTGAGGGGAGGAGGAAAACCATCGTGGCTTGGAAAGGAGGAGGAAAAGCATTGAAGGTACCGCTCAGCCCAAGCATGTCCTTGCCTTGTGATCCCCTCAGAGTGAGAGTGTTGGCTGCCCAGTAAAGGTGTAAAGCAGCTCCAAACCAAACGTGAACAGCTTGTGACACTTGCAGACCTCAACCCAGGCGGTCGCCCAGATGAACGGGGACGGTGGATGTCCTCCTTACACACCAGGGAGGACACCTGGTGACCTTTCCCTGTTCCCAGCCCCAGGGAAAGGTCACCAGGTCACCAGGGTGCCCTTTTGGCAAGCAGCGGTGCCTGAGCCAGACAGTGAACCACACATTAACCAGCCCCTCTGTCCGCCCAGAGGACCTGCCCGAATGAAGTGTTGTTGGCTGTTGCGATGGAGGTGAACATGCACAGCTATTCTGTATTTCCTGGGCAGCCACAAGGGAGAGCCAGGAGCAGGACACCGCTCCCCTGTCAACCCTGTGAAGACGTGAGCGAGGTCCAACTCAGCTCAGTCCCCGCTTGCTCACTGCAGTCATTTTAGATCGCTAGTGAGTCACAGTCACCAGTCAGGGGTGGAAAGGGCTGGAGCTTTTTTCCCTATTCTATGAAAATCAATAAACACAGTTTTGCCAAGGCATTCTGGCATCACTGCTGTCTATTTTTATACCGAGCCCTACATTTGGCTTTTCCAACCTACTTGCTTTGCTCCAGTGCGTTCCCTTCCTTGTTCTTAAAACAATGCCCCTTCCCTGCGTGAGGGTTGCTTTTAGTTTTAATTTTTTATTGTTTAGGGCTGTATCCAACTTCTGGGGGTGCCAGGATGGGCTTTTTTAACACCTGAAGGGTGCTGCCCACTGCCTCGCACCTTGTCTGGGCGCTTACATCTGCAGGGAGTGGGTGGTGCAGGGCTGTGGCTCTCCTCGCCTCACCTCCTACGCCCGCTTGGTGCTGGCTGGGCTCACATCTAACTGTGGATTTTTCCTTGCAAACTCTGAGGAAGTGAAGGATAAGGGCAAAAATAGTTGGGATTTGATAGCGTGTGCAACATCTGACAAACTTGAGTCCCCAGAGGAAGCAGTCATTGATTTATATCTTTGTCTTTATGTAACTTGGGTGTTGTCTCTATGTAACTTTCCAGGCACTTCCTCTAGCACATCTAATAAAGAAAGAAATACTGGGGTTTGTTCCTTGGGTCCTGATAAACCCTTAGGAATGTGTTACCTCTCAGCTGTGTGTCTACACAACAAGGGACCATCACAGCCAAGTTATTAGAGGAATCCCTCTCACATTTTCAACCTGGAATATTTTTTCAGCTATGTTAACCTTCTTGACAGTATTTTTTCTGGGAAGGGAGACACTCTGCATTCAGTTCTCGCTTGTATTTTCATTTTTAGAGCTCTTAGCACTTCACCGCTAATTAACTTTCAATAACTGTCGTAGGGTTACAGTTAGTCAGCATGAATCAGACAGAAAATGTAGCTTTAGGGGACCACACTCTGTCAAAAACTATTAGAAACCTTTGCTTGATTTCCGAGGAGAATATACTCGCTCAAGCAGGATATAGCAGCTATTAGGCAGAGTTCTCCTGCAGTAAGAAATCCTCAATAAAAGAGACTCAGTGGTTTTGGTAACAGCCCTCCTTTCAGGGTGGCTCTCAGTAATTATGCAGCATTTTTCTTTCTTCCCATTTGTCTGTCCTAAATGGTGGTGGTGCTCAGGCCAAAGCTGGGGTTCTGAGCTTAAAGGTGGTATTTTTATCTGTTGGCTCACAAATATAATTCAAAATAGGGGGAGAAGAGGGAGGTCACTTATAGGTGCAGGCCAGCTCTGCCCCTCTGCCCTTCCCAGGCGTTTTCAGCTGCGGAAAATTGAGAACTGCTTTTGGCTGGGAGCACTCATGGGAAGACTTGGCTGTGGCAGGCAGCAGTGCTGTTGGTCCCAGCGATGGGGGACATTCCTGGGATGCAGCGTGCAGAGCTCTCAAACTCCATGCATGACAAATTGACACTTTAATAACGGGGAAGGAGGAAGGGGAGCAGTGCAGAGCCACGTCCACAGCATGTGTTTTCCTCCTGGGCTTTTGGAGCCCTGCCACCCCATACACTCTGACCCCTAAACCACTCAACATCATCCACAATGCCCTCATCTACAGCTGGCTGTAGTATTAGATGGGATACCAAATCCTCTCAATGCTATTAATCCATGTTGTTCCACCAAGGCCCCAGGTGCTCCCTGCTGATGATTTATTTGGCCTGTGCAGCAGGGATAGGCCACAGCTGTGTAAGGTGGGGAGGGAGCTCCTCTGTGCTCCCAAAGCCCTGCCTGCCTTGTGTCTCATGCTGTTGGAGGCAGCCCCAGTTCCCTGCAGCACCTGCGAGGCCAGGCTGAGCAGAAGGCACTCGAGTCCCATTCCCACACCACAAGGTAATGCTCATTGCCCACTTGCAGCCTGCTCTTTACTCTCTAGCTAGAGCTTATAGAGGCTTTCAATTTCCAGGTGTGCTGTTAAAAATCTCAACACGTTGCTCTGGATGACTAAGGATGCTTCCTATGGTTTATTTAATTTTTCTTTTTTTCCCCTTTGCCCTCCCTTCCCCGTCCTTACGTCAGCAGTGGGTATAATTTGTTTGCAGAGTTCCAGGGCGTTTCATCTTTCTTTGGCTAGCCCCAAGTGCATGGGGGTTTGTTGAAGCAACAGCACTCTTGATTTCTTAGAGCTGGTATGTGGGTGTTGGATTGTGTCATTCGTAGGAGGTGAACGTCAAAGGAAGCGGGATCAACTGCTGGAGGTTTGTAAGCCAGGTACTTAATATTTGGTTTCCGGGAAAAGCAAGGAAAAATAGCAAAACAGGCAGCCTTTGAGTCTTTAGTTTTCCCATGTAATCAGATTAACACAATACCTGTGCGTGCTCGAGAACAGTTTGGGTTGGTTTTGGTTTGGTTGGGTTGGTTTTTTCCCCTTGGTTCATTCAGGATGCAGGATGACTGTATTTTCCTTTAAATAGTTTCACTTGTTTTGGTGGATTCTGTTGAATGTTTATTCCAGTAATACAAATAATTTGTGTTCTGTTAGGGCCCTTACAAATAATGCAATTCATTATCAGGTACATTATGTTGTCTTTTTATTTGATGTAAAATGGGGCCTTTGAGTTAAATTTAGATAGAAGAGCTATTTGAGACTATTTTGTTCATCTCCAACTGTTTTTTTCAGAAGTGCATTAGTCTGAAGTATTTCATGGGCAAAATACTGAGTTATTTTGGGGACAGACAAATTGTCTACAAAAGAAAAGTATAGCTGCTTATTTTTACAGTAGTTTTAGGGTAATTGCTGTTTTATTTGACAAGTGTAGATACCAAGGTAGATAGAAAATTCCAGCAGAGTGCTTTCTCCTAAACTGCTCTAGGGAGCAGGTATCTCTTCCAGTCCTTGTTCAGGCTAAGCTTAAAAATTAAATAGGACAGAGGTGCCCTTAAAAAAAAAAATTATTTATCCATCCTATGGATTAGGCAAAAGGACTGTAGCAGCTTTCTTGGCATTTCCCCTAATGCTTATTTTCCTATGGCTGTCAAAGGGATCTGTAGGTCAGGGGAAGGAAAGCTGATGGTGAAGTGTTCATAGAAGGACTTTTCTGTAATCACTGCAAAAAACAGTCCTTCTCTCTGACTTCAACAAAGCATTGTGGTGTGAATTTATGGATCTCATTGATATTTCTCCTGATTTACACAACAGTAAGCAGTATGTAAGCATAACAGTAAGTTAAGTAGCAGTGGGCCTTAAATATTTATCTGGTTTATTTTTGGAATGGCAGTTGCAGCTATTTATAGAGCAAGGAAGCAGTGATACAAATCTGACTGGATTCCTTCTTTGCTTTGAATCTGTGAGAGAGAAGCAGTTTGGGCTTTTTGACCACGAGCTCTTATTTATTATGTTAAATTTGCACTGATTAATAGGTTATAGGCTTCCTTTTTCAAGAGCCTCTGAACCTCTCTGCTTACAAGTATGAGGGATTTTGTTACCTCTGTGAAGGAGCCTTGATGCAGCCTAAGAGCAGCTGTGAGAGTGCCCTGAGCTGCTGTGCAGCACTGATACCTTACATGGATTTATCCATGGGGAATAGTCCCAAGAGAAAACACATTTGTGGTGGGTCACTGCTTACCCAGAAAACCCAGAATGGAACATGTTCTCCTGTGGGAGGCTGTGCTGGGTGTGGGAGGGTGGATGGGGGTGCTGCTGTGAGGGAGCCTGTGTCTGTGCCAGTGTGCTGGGGAGGGACATTCCCTCTGGAAAGCAGAACTAGGCTGGTGGATGGAGATGCCGGAAGAGAGCGTGCCAGTAGTACATACTGACTCAGAAATCAGCACTTCTGGCTCTTAGGCCACTGGTTGATGCATGGCTTAGCTTAGTTGTTACCTAAATCTGTTATTTCCTTTTGATTCCAGATGGTTTGGAATCCACTGATGTTGACATCCTGACTGAATCTCAGACTCCTGGGCTTCACTGCAGCTGGACAACCCTCACCCCATACAGACAGGCAGGTCAGCACCTGGCAGGACCAGTTTTATTGCTGCATCCCTCCTGTGGAGAAAGAGGGCTTGCCCACTGTCATGAACTTCAAAACATCCCTCTGTCTTTCATTTAAAAACTAACCTTGAGAGCCTGGGAAGGAAAGAGAACTAACAGAAGTAGTCAACCCCCTGTGTTTGCTATGAGAAACCACAGAAGGTGGT